TGAGTTCTTGATTTTTTTTTAACTCACCTACACTGAGTGCTAAACCCACAGAAGTAAGAGATCTGTGAAATTATTTTCTCTTTCCCCTGTTGGAACTTGCAGACTCCGGTGTCGATGCACACATCCAAGGTTTGCAAAGGCTTCTTGAAATAGTAATGGCTGATCAGTCTTTTAACCGGATGGCGTACTATGTTGATCCAACTAGGCTCCCAGTAACCTAACCTAAGAACACAAGGCATCTTTTAGGTTTCAGGTCTATGATATATCCATCGGTCATAGCGTTCTCTTTCTTTTCTTGGTTATATATACATATACATATATATATATATATATATATATATATATATATATATATATATATATATATATGTATGTATCATCATCGGCTAACGCCGACGGGGGCGCATAGCCGCGTCCACCTTTTGGAATCCCTCATGACAAGCCGCCAGGCAGGGACTCGGCCCATCTCGAGCTCTTCCCGACAGGTTTAATCGATCTGCCCAAGCCACGACCTCCTAGGTCGTCCCACAGGCCTCCTCCACCCAGGGCTGTCTCTTACAGAGACAATCTGATGAGCAGGCACAGCCTGTGGAAAGCGAGCCAGGTGGCCATATAGCTTGAGTTGGCGATCTCGGATTTGGCAGGTAACAAGTCCTGTGCCAGTCTCACGGTGCAACTGTTGGTTAGACACATGGTCCCGCCAACAGTACCCCATGATCCGCCACAAGGACCTATTACAGGAGGCATCAAGACGAGACTCCAGGGCACTGGATAATGTCCAGGTTTCACTACCGTAGAGCAAAGCTGGCATTATCAGGGCCCTGAAAACCCATAGCTTGGTCCTTTTGCACAGGTATCGGCATCTCCAAATACTATTGTCGAGAGAGTTCACGACCCTTGCTTCCAGGCCAATCCGTCTGCTGACTTCCTGGTCTGACAGCCCAAAGTTATGAACTGCACTACCAAGGTATGTAAAGCTTTCTGTGACTTCAATGTCCTTGCCGCAAGCACGTACTGACCGAACAGGTTCTCCTAGCAAGTCCCTTAAGTCCTGGATCTTGGTCTTGATCCAGGAGACCTCTAGAACCAAGGGCTTCGCTTCATTACGAAATGAATCGAGAGCCACCACTAGATTTCCAAAGACTCAGATAGAATAGTATTATCGGCAAAGTCAAGGTCTGTAACCTTAACATTGCCCAGTGTTGCTCCACAATGACTTTGAACAGTAGCTCTGCTTAGTATCCAGTCCATGCAAGTATTGAAGTGCTAGTGCAAGAATACAGCCTTGCCTCACTCCTGAACTGACAGGAAAGAAGCTCGACAGGCCCCCACAACATTTTACAACACTTTCAGTACCAGTATACAGGTTAGCTATTAGTTCAATAATCCTTGTTGGAATTCCTCTCAGTCTCAGGATCTCCCAGAGTGATTCCCAATGCACTGTATCGAATGTATTCTTGAGGTTGATATAGGCTTCAAGCAGCCCACGTCCGAACTTATGACGGCGCTCTTTAATGACTCAAAGCGCAAGGATATGGTCTATCGTGGAGTGAATCCAGATTGCTCCAGCCTCTGATGCCTCAGTACATGGTCTCTAATACGCCTCAGAAGGATGTGGGCAAGAACCTTGCCTGGTACACTGAACAGTGTGATGCCGCGGTGATTACTGCAGTTCCATCGGTCCCCCTTCCCCTTCCAGAGAGGGATAACCACACCCCTCAACAGGTCAGGGGGAACGGTACCGAACCGTCAGATGGCAGTCAGGACAGCATGCAATCCCCACGCCATAGGTTCACCACCAGCCTTTAACAGTTCAGCTGGGCTGCCGCAAATACACACTGCTTTACCACTCTTCAGATTGCCTCCCCAACTTCAGTTAGGGAGGTTGGGCCCTCGTTAATGGGTGGGTCCGGCAGCGGAATCAGGACACTACCCTGTTGGAGGGTCAACCTGATACAACTGCTCGAAATACTCAGCTCAACGTTCCCGCACCGCAACAGGATCTGAGACGATCTGGCAACCTACTAAGCGAACTGCAGTCAGTCAGTATGTATGTATATATATTCATATTTGTATACTGGTCAAGCCAAGGCAATATCCCAAATCTTAATTTTGCTTTCATTCAGTAATTCACATCAATGCCGGGTAAGTTACCAAAGGCCAGTTCAGCTTTGATTCTGATGAATCTCGTACACAGAATGGCACACCGACCTCAGCATACTAACCTTGAAAAGTTTAGATATGGGATGTGCTTGAAGAAGAAGTGTCGTCCATGAAAAGACCGGTTGAAGATCCAGTTAGCAAGTTTCCTCTGCTGTGCCCTTTCTTTGTGGTTTTTACCCGTTTCCTTCATGTTATTGAAGGTAAATTCATTCTTTTGTGATAAGCTGTGTGGATAACACATAATTTTGGAAACTCGAGTGATGGTATTATATTTATTTTATCAGATATATGGATAAGCAAACACTGAATTTGGATTACCACGGAGTCTTGTTGTAATAAAAATACTCTGTGTGAAGGAAGCAATTGCCAATATCCTGATTCCGGAACGAAATCTATTAAAATTTGGAAAGTTGGAAAATATTAAAAGGAATTGAATTTGAAGGCATCTCAGTTTAAGGGGATGTTAAGTGAAGTTCAGCGAGAATTTTGGAATATAGATTAGCCAAAATTAGAAATAAATCGATCAGCAGATAAAAAGGCGCCTAGAGCAATCAAATATTTTGATAGTATATATATTTTGAAAAGTGTCTAAGTACTTGGAATAATGAACAATGGTTTGCGGAAGGCAGACATGCTCTCAAACACACACGCACTACTTCTGTATATCTCTTTGAGAGTATTTACGATATGGGAAAAAAACAAGATCCGAACGTGACTTTGCAGCCAGAGGAAAACCAACCTTCTGCAGATGCGCAACATGGTCGCCGACGCACATTTTGGAACGCGGTTGTAGATGACAATGCGCGGATACACAGGCCTCAGAACCAACTCTATAAATTCAGAGAGTATATAGGATTTTCAAAACCATAGTTTATATTGGGCCACGCCACTAATAACCTTAGATGTTGCCGAGGCGGAAAATGCTCCATAAGTAAGTCATTTTGGGCCAAAGAGGAAAATAAAAGAAGAAAAATTAGAGATTAGGACGAGGTCTAGAATGTCGGTAAGAAAGATTTGTGGTGTATGTCAGGAAACCTTATTGGAATAACAAAGGGTTAGCGAGAGAAAATAGTGTGTTGCACTGATGGGTAAAAGGCACAAATTCGCTTATTTAACCTATAGATAAAAAACTTGTAAACTAGGGATATCAGACTCAGCTACAACGGTGGGCTAGACAAAATGATAGTATACTGCCTAATGTTCACACACAAACGCAAACATATATAGGTGACAAAACAAAATTGTTTGCAACATAGGAACATACAGAAAAGGCAAAATGCTGCTGGATTCATTACAATGTTAAGAATGCACATTGGTATTGCCTGGTTGATATTCTTATTCCATTTCAATTGTATAAAACCTGAGGCAGCACATCTGTCGTGATCCGCCGATTAACTTAACCATCTGTATTGGCACTATGGCTATTTAAGGGGATAAAAAAAAAAAAAAACACGGACGATCCCTCAAGTGCCTGTCACATGTATGGACCACAGCAAACCACCCATACTAAAAGTCACGGCACGCAGCCAATCTTACTGTTACTGCATCCCTGGTCCATGGGCTGTTCCTGGATCTCACCCTGCCGTCCCAAAATCAACACTGGGTTCTTTCTCGACATCATTCCCGTGTAGGGCTGCCAGGGTGGGACAGGGTCCTGAGCGTCGGACTGGAGCAACATGGCAGAGGCGCGAGGTTTCAGGGAGGACGTTGGAACCAATTGAACTCGGAGAAACTCGGAGAACATGGCAGAGTCCTGGGGTTGGGAAAGCGAAGCTGAGTCCCGCTCACTGGGCTGGGGGAGCGTGGCAGGGTTCCCAATCTTGCGTAGAGATATCGGCCGAGTTGAAGAAACCTGCGGTCGGAGTGCAACAAGATCCTCTCTCAAAGGAACGTGATATTCAACCAATTCCCGGGAATGAGACGAGGAGGTGACCCTTTCCTTCAGGATTGCAAGGGCCGTGAGACACAGGAAGGCCATCCCCACGTTCAGGAGGATCAGTAAACGTTTCACTTTCACCATGCTACCTTCTCTGCGCCGCGTCTGATGAAGAAAAACGTTATTTCCATTAGTATCATTAGCAAGATCGGTTCCAAATATGTTGACATTGATAACAATGATCATGATTATTTTAGATTTACTGTCGCTAAAATTGTTTTGATGTCAGCATTATACTATTATCTTTATTACTATTATTATCAATTATCAATTTTATTATTATTATTTTCATGATTGTTATTACTGTTTTTGTTATTATGATCATAATAATTATTGCTATTTTTTTCATTATTGTTACCATGGTCATCGCCATTCGCATTGTTATTGTTGTTATTACCATTATCAATGTTATTAACATTTTAATTGTTATCATTACCATCGATTCTACTACCATTACAAATGTCATTACCTCTGCCAAGGAGGTCATGATAATTACCTAATGATGTTTTTGGTAGCGTTGGACAGTTAGTTTGTTTGCTGGTTGGTTGATAAGCGGGATAACTCGAAAAGTTATGAATAGATTTTTATGAAATTTTTACTAGAGGTGTTTTAGCCCAACCCTTTTCAAAGGATCGCATCAGTTGCCCCTTTGCAAAGGCAACATTGCCTTAATAGTGCTTATAGTTATTATCATTATTATAATGATTGATATCATTACTATGATGATTATCGTTATCATTGCTATTATCATTTTTATTGTCCTCATTATCATCGTTCCTATAGCCATTACAATTATTATTATTATTATTATTATTATTATTATTATTATTATTATTATTATTATTATTATTATTATTATTATTATTGATATCAACATCATTATGATAATGATCATTATCTT